AAAGTAAAAGCCAACCACTAGAGAAAATTTGAAAAGACCACAAATACATGAAGGTTAAACAACATGCTAGTAAACAATGAATGAGTCAACCAGGAAACTAAAAAAGAAATAAAAATACATGGAAAAAATGAAAATGAAAACATGATGGTCCAAAACCTTTGGATGCAGCAAAACATTTTTTTAATTTTTTTAATGTTTGTTTATATTTGAGAGAGAAACAGAGCGCAAGTGGGGAAGGAGCAGAGAGTGAGGGAGACACAGAATCTGAAGCAGGCTCTAGGCTCTGAGTTGTCTGCACAGAACCCGAAGCTAGACTCAAACTCATGAACTGTGAGATCATGACATGTGAAATCATGACATGAGCCAAAGTCAGATGCTTAACCGACTAAGCCACCCAGGCACCCCTCAGCAAAAGCTATTCTAAGAGGGAAGTATATAGTGATACAGACCTACTTCAAGAAGCAAGAAAAATCTCAACAACCTAACCTTATACCTAAAGCTAGAAAAAAGAACAACAAATGAAATCTAAAGCCATCAGAAGGAGGGAAATAAATATTAGAGCAGAAATAAATGATACAGAAACTAAAGAAAAAGAAAAAGAAAAACAAAACAAAACAACAAACAATAGAACCAGATCAATGAAAACAGGAACTGTTTCTTTGAAAATATTAATAAAATTGACAAACCTCTAGCCAGACTTATCAAAAAGAAAAGAGAAAGATCCCAAATAATCACAAATGCGAGAAGATAAATAACAACACCATAGAAATATAAAAATTATAAGAGAATATTATAAAAACTATATGCCAACAAATTGGACAACCTAGAAGAAATGGATAAATTCCTAGAAACATATAAACTACCAAAACTGAAACCAGAAGAAATAGAAAACTTGAATAGACCTATAATCAGCAAAGATATTGAATCAGTAATCAAAAACCTCCCCCAAAACAAAAGTCCAGATGCCTTCACAGGGGAGTTCTACCAAACATTTAAAGAAGAGCTAATATCTATTCTTCTCAAACTATTCCAAAAAACAGAAAAGGAAGGGAAACTTCCAAATTCACTCTATGAGACCAACATTACCCTGATACCAAAACCAGATAAAGATTCCACTAATAAAGAGAACTATAGACCAATACCTCATGTACATAGATACAAAAGTTCTCAAGAAAATACTAGCAAACCAAATCCAACAATACATTAAAAAAATCATTCACCACGATGAAGTAGGGTCAAAGGTGGTTCAATATTCATAAATCAATAAATGTGATATACCACATTAATAAAAGGAAGGATAAGAGCCATATGATTATTACAATAGATGCAAAAAAAGCATTTGAAAAAGTACAAATCTATTCATAAAAATGTTTTTTCAACAAAGTAGATTTGGAGGGAACAAACCTCAACATAATACGGGGCGCCTGGGTGGCGCAGTCGGTTAAGCGTCCGACTTCAGCCAGGTCACGATCTCGCGGTCCGTGAGTTCGAGCCCCGCATCAGGCTCTGGGCTGATGGCTCGGAGCCTGGAGCCTGTTTCCGATTCTGTGTCTCCCTCTCTCTCTGCCCCTCCCCCGTTCATGCTCTGTTTCTCTCTGTCCCAAAAATAAATAAAAAAACGTTGAAAAAAAAATTAAAAAAAAAAAAAAAAACCTCAACATAATAAAGGCCATATGTGAAAAACGCACAGCTAATATCCTCAATGGGAAAAAACTGAGAGCTTTTCCTCTATGGTCAGGAACAAAAAAGGAATGTCCTCTGTCACCAGTTTTATTCAATATGATACTGGAACTCCTAGCCACAGCAATCAGGCAACAAAAAGAAAAGGTATCCAAATCAGCAGGGAAGAAGTCAAATTTTCATTATCTGCTGGTGACATGATACTCTATATAGAAAATCTGAAAGACTCCACCAAAAAAAAAAAAAAAAAAAAAAAAAAAAAAAAAACCTGTGAGAACTGATAAATTCACCAAAGTCACAGGAGACAAAATCAATGTACAGAAATACTTTGCATTTCTATACACCAATGAAGAAGCAATGGAAAGAGAAATTAAGGAATCTACCATTTACAACTACATCAAACCCAATAAGATACCTAGGAATAAACCTAAACAAAGAGATCTGTACTCTAAAAACTATAAAACTCAGGAAAGAAATTGAAGATGACACAAAGAAATAGACATTCCATGCTCATCGATTGGAATGTCTATATTACCCAAAACAATCTGCAGATTTAATGCAATCTTTATCAAAATACCAACAGCAGTTTTCACAGAGCTAGAACAAAGAATCCTAAAATTTGTATGGAACCACAAAAGACTCCAAATATCGAAAACCATCTTGAAAAAGCAAAGCAAAGCTGGAGGAATCACAGTTCTGGGCTTCATGTTATATTGCAAAGCTGTAGCAATTATGACAGTATGGAACTAGCACAAAAACAGACACGTAGGTCAATGAAGCAGAATAGAAAACCCATAAATGAACCCACAACTATATGGTCAACCAATCTTTGACAAAGAAGGAAAGAATATCCAATGGGAAAAAAAAGTCTCTTCAATAAATGGTGTTGGGAAAACTGGACAGCAATATGCAAAAGAAAGAAACCAGACCACTTTCTCACACCATACCCAAAAGTCAAAATGGATTAAAAACCTAAATGTGAGACCTTAAACCAGAAAAATCCTAGAGGAGAACCCAAGCAGTAAACAATTTGGCATCAGAAGTACCAAGTTCTGGCTCACCTGGGTGGCTCAGTCGGGTAAGCATCCGACTTTGGCTCAGGTCATTGTCTCACCTTTCCTGAATTCAAGCCCTGAATTGGGGTCTGCAATGACAGCTCAAAGCCTGTAGCCTGCTTCAGATTCTGTGACTCCTTCTCTCTCTGCCCCTCCCCTGCTCTCTCTCTCTCAAAAATAAATAGACATTTTTTAAAAAGTACCAACTTGTTTCTAGATATGTCTCTTGAAGCAAGGGAAACAAAAGCAGAAATAAACTATTGATATTTCAGCAAAATAAAAAGCTTCTGCACAGTGAAGGAACCAATCAACAAAATTAAAAGGCAGCCTATAGGATGGAAAAAGATATTTGCAAATGACATATCTGATAAAGGGTTAGTACCTAAAATCTCTAAAGAACCTATAAAACTCAACACTCCAAAATGAATAATCCAATTAAAAATTTAAAAATCCAATAAAAAAGACATGAAGAGACATTTTCCCAAAGAAGACATCCGGATGACCAATAGTCTTATGAAAAGATGCTTAATACCACTTATTATCAGGGAAATGCAAATCAAAACTACAGTGAGATATCACCTCACACCTGTCACAATGGCTAAAATCAACAACCCAAGAAACAACAGGTGTTGGCAAGGATGTGGAGAAAGGGGAACCCTCTTGCACTGTTGGTGGCAGTGCAAAGTAGTGCAGCCACTGTGGAAAACTGTATGAAGTTTCCTCAAAAAGTTAAAAAGCGAACTACCTTATGATCCAGCAGTTGCGCCACTAGGTATTTACCCAAAGAATACAAAAATACTTATGTAAAAGGATACATGCACCCTGATGTTCATAACAACATTATCCATAATAGCCAAATTAAGGAAACAGCCCAAGTGTCTGTTGACAGATGGATAAGGAATAAGTGCCATATGTTATTATTATATAATATTATATAATATATATGACATATATTTTTGGTGGAATATTTTTCAGTCATAAAGAATGAAATCTTGCCATTTACAATGACATGGATGGAGCTAGAGAATATTATGCTAAGTGAAATAACTCAAAGAAATACCACATGCTTTCATTCACATGGAATTTAAAAAGCAAAACAGATGAGCAAAAGAGGAGAGAGAGAGAGGCCAAGAAACAGACTCTTAACTATTGAGAACAAACTGATAGATACCAGAAAGGAGGTGGGTAGGGGAATGAGTTAAATAGGTGATTGGGATTAAGGAGTGCACTTGTCATGATAAGCATCAGGTATTGTATGGAAGTGTTGAGTCACTATATCGTATACCTGTAACTAATATTACACTAGATGTTAACTAACTTGAATTTTAAAAGTTTTTGTTAGGGGCGCGTGGGTGGCGCAGTCGGTTAAGCGTCCGACTTCAGCCAGGTCACGATCTCGCGGCCCGTGAGTTCGAGCCCCGCGTCAGGCTCTGGGCTGATGGCTCGGAGCCTGGAGCCTGTTTCCGATTCTGTGTCTCCCTCTCTCTCTGCCCCTCCCCCGTTCATGCTCTGTCTCTCTCTGTCCCCAAAAAAATAAATAAACGTTGAAAAAAAAAATTAAAAAAAAAAAGTTTTTGTTAATTTTTTTATGTTTATTCATTTTTGAAAGAGAGAGCACAAGCAGGGGTGGGGCAGATAGAGAGGGGGACACAGAATCTGAAGCACGCTCCAGGCTCTGAGCTGTGAGCACAGAGCCCGACACAGGGCTTGAACTCATGAACCACGAGATCATGACCTGAGCCAAAGTTAGACGCTCAACCGACTGAGCCTCTCAGGCGCCCCTGGAATTTAAAAAGTTAAAAAAAAACCCACACATCATCATCAATTCTCTAGAATCAGCAATGCAGTTGTTCTACTAAATTTACAACTCTAAATATAGCATGCAATACCATAGTTTTTAAATTATTGCTTTTTCTCTGACTTGGAGATTGTCATGATTTTATCAAACATTGGATATTTTTTCACCAGGGGAATAGGTGATTTATAGTCATTATTTTTACATTAAAATGAACCCTTATGAATAATTATTACTTTTATTTTCTTTTACTACACTAACTGGTTGAGATATGGTGTAATACCTGTAAATGAGACTTTCTGGTTATCTCTTCAGGACATCTGCTGTTAAATGCTGCTTTGGTTTAGTGATTCAGACTCAAGAGTAGTGCAAACTCAAACAGGTTCCATAATAAGTCATGTAGTGTACATTTAATATTTTTAGTATGATGTTAAATGAGTCTGTAGTGAAAAAAACATTCTTTTTTACAGGTACAGATATGAAAAGTATTCTCCTTTCTCTAATTCCACTCTGAGCATCTCTCCATGTCTCCTGGAGTCAGACAATCAATTACCTATCTCAATTATAGAAAAATCACAATCCAAAAGAAGTGATGGTAAGATGGTTTTGTTTACTTGACTAAGATAGCTTTTTATAAAGACTTTATATTGCTTTAGTATGGGCAAAAAATTTATGTGATGTTTTTCTCTTAAAAGCTTTACTACTTAAATTGAGATACTATAGTGCCATAAAAATTCCTAGAATATAAAGCAGTATATGATGAGATCTGAAGAAAATATGGAAAGAGCATTAATTGCTGGCGACTGGGAAGAGCTTCCCATGGTTCCAAATAAGGTGGGCCATGAATTAGGATAAAACTAGTTTAGCACATATTAATCTCAGTCCAGTGTTCAGATATGAAAGAAATATATTCTTCCCCAGATCTCAGTTTAACTTCTGTGTTCAGCCCCTTTCCATCAGAATGGGATAAATTGAATCTCATTCAATTTGTCCCTAACCTTACCTTTTTCCCCAGGGGTTGCTTATATTCTAGGGAGCTTACATAATAGCAAAGAGGGAAGTTGTGGGAGGGGCCTCTTGGTGTTATTGGTCCCTTGTCAACTTAGGTATTTAAAATCCCTCTGGCCACAATATTTGGTCATACATGTCACTTTAGGGCCATCCCATGTCTACCTTTATGTCCTTTTTTAGCACAGAAGCTCTTCCTGATGAAGATGTGACAGTCTTGGAAACTTGGGAATAATTGTTTTCCACACAACACAGGATGCAAGGAATTTTGTCAGGATGTCTAGAATTCCATATGGCTGATGCACATTGCATAGCAATGCTTTGTGTGAGCACCCTTGGGAACATGGAAATCATCTCTTATAAAGCTTTTGAGGAGCCAAAAGCAGGACGCTTAGCCACACTGTTCTACATACGTAGCCATCTTGTCTTTTGGGTTTTGCTACCTCCCTGGCTCTACCATGGTGGCCCAGGTTCTTCCTGCTAGGGAATCCACAAATCTCCCCTCAGGTGTTTGCTATGTCTCCGGGATGAGCTCAAATGCCCTGTCTCCACTGCCCTTGAGCATTGACAAGCTCGATGCTTCCTCCTCACCACTCCCACCCCGCTCCCTGCTCCTAGCCTACAGATTGCTGTATAGGCAGTGTGGAAGCTCCTCTTTTCTATACCTGCTAGTCATGCAAATCTTTTATCTATACCATAAAACCTTTTCTTTCCCCTAATATCATCATCAGTGCTTTCTTTTGAGATGTCTTTTTTCCTGAGCAATGAACTCCAGAGGTCTGGATGAAGGGAAGGGCCAGAGGATTAATAGAAATATGAGGCAGGGAGGTAGGGAACATGTAACATGTAACATGTTACATGTGAACATGTAACAAGTGTACCCTATCCTGCTGTATGAAAAGAAGAAGAAAAGCCCCCTGGAAGAAGAGAAGAGTGTGAAAGGAGGGTTTGGACTTTCACTTCCACATAATGTACAGTTATTGAAGATATTTTGTTTTTGACAGGAAAGATAGGATGTAGATGGCAATACAGCTAATCACGAAATATTTAAACCTTTAGTGTTAAGAAGAGAAACATAGCATCTAGAGGTGGGAATTAAAAATTTTTTAATGTGGGGCGCCTGGGTACCTCAGTCAGTTAAGCATCCAACTCTTGATCTCCGTTCAGGTCATGATCTCATGGTCATGGGATCGAGCCCCAGGTTAGGCTTTGCAGTGATAGCACGGAGCCTGCTTGGGATCCTCCCTCTCCATCCCCTTTCTCTCTCTCTCTCTCTAAATAATAAATAAATAAATAAACAAACAAACAAACTTTAAAAATGTTTTTAATGTAGAGACAGGTTTTAGACAGGTATACAGCATAAGACCCACAATCTTTTTCTTTGCTTTAAATGAGGTCCTGCTCCCTTAAAGTCATAGATCTGTATAAACATCAGATATAGTGGACACAAAGTTTATCCTAAAAATTATAGTAGGGTGATAATAGGACTCTTGTCAAAAATGCTCCACCTACAACCCCCATTCCCACTACACTGGAGAGCTGAGATGTCCAAAAAAACTCTGCAACAGTGGAAATGTTCTATATCTATGCTGTCTAATACAGCAGCCACTAGCACATGTGACTGTTGACTTCTGTAATATAGCTAGTGTGACTGAGGACTGAATTTTTACTTTTATGTAACTTTAATTAATTTACTATTCAGTAGCCACATGTGTTGTGTAGTTACCATATTGGAAAACACAGATCTAAGCTATCTTCACCTGTCTACAATATTTCCCTACCCTTGTGTGATCCTGGGATCACACAAATGTCAGGGGTAGAATTGACATTAGAATCAATTTTTTGGAAAAGGAATTCCCGTTATATTTTGGGGAGTGAAATGGAAATCTAGAAAAGATAAGTGAAAAATGCGTGGTCACTTGGCTACATTTCTAGAAGAGGCAGAATTAGAAGGAACATGACTACACAATAGTCTTGTCTGTTACACAGTCTGATTCATCTACCCAAAAGGATTCATCCCAGTTCCAAATAACCTATATTTTACTTTCAAATTTTACTTAAGGGCTACTAATAAGTGTAAATAACTCCTACCTCATATGATTATTAGGAGGAAGTAATTTAAAAATGCCTGCAAACCACTTAGCCCAGTGCCTGGCAGAAAGGGAGCACTCACAAGTGGTGATTGTCAGAGATAGATAACATTATCACTTTTATTAAAGTGATCAAACTCTTCAAAATATATTTCACTTGTGATGTGGGGGTAATTCTTCAGCTTTACATGATTATATCAAGACATGACTTCTATAAAAGCATTTTAAAATAGTTAGCTTTGAATGTCTAAGAATACTGCCAAAAGTATAGTTATACTACTAAATAGTTATACTACTAAAGTATATAGAGTTTTAAATTTTTGTGACTTTGTTTCCTAAACCTGATCCCTAAAAATGGCTATTCACTAACAAACGATTGTAATGCTGTCCAAAGTTGAAGTATCATCCATATAAAAATTTAAATTTCAGATAAAACTTGGTCAGCAATAAAATTACAAGGGATTTCTGTTGAAAAATAGAAAAGTTTAAAGATTAAGGTGAGAAATGCCTTTGTTCAAAATTTTGTGTTTTTTCCCAGACAGGATAGTGAATGTAATTGGAGCATAGGAATTCAAAGTACACAGTATAAATATAAAATAAAAAGAGAAGAGAAAATAAGAAACAAGGCATCAGAAACAAGAAACAAAAGAGTCCTTTTATCAAAACCTCTGGGGGATTTATATTGCCTAAAATATTGAGGAGAAAATATTTTCCAGTCTTGCTTAGATTCCTATCAAATTAAGTCTGTTGAAAATTTCATTTTTACATCCTAATCCAATTTTAGGACAGCTTGTAGAAATGCAAAATAAGTATTTAACTTTGATACTGATCTAATTTCACTTCTCTTGTTTGCTTTCCTTTCAAGAATGTGAAATTGATGCCAGCTCTTCCATGTGGGTTTATGTTTTCCTGGGGAACCTTCTTCGTGGAATTGGGGAAACTCCTATTCAGCCTCTAGGCATTGCCTACCTTGATGATTTTGCCAGTGAAGACAATTCTGCTTTCTATATTGGTAATGCCTACCCCATTCATCTTCTTGGGAAGCAGCATATCTGATTTTCTCAACTCTATTCCAAACTGAGTGGAATAGAGTGTGCAATAGAGTTTGATACTTCATATCCAGTTCCTATATTGAGGTTCACACATATCTGATGTCCACTCTGAGGATTTGGATGATAAAGAAACTTGCATTAGAAGGACATGTCACGTTAGGGAAAGAACATCAGATTAAAAGAAAATAACTATAAGATCAACTGCAATCATGTACGACTTTGTACAAGTATCTTCATGGACTTCATATTTCATAGGTTCTTTTTATTGGGTTAACTGTGACACTGAAGCATTTAGGTATCATATATATATGTGTGTGTATATATCTATATGTGTGTGTGTGTGTGTGTGTGTGTATATATATATATATATATATATATATATATATATGTATGTATATGTATATATTTGTCTCCAGAGCCCTAGAAATTGCTTTCTAAGATAAAAGCCCTGATTATTTCAAGCATCTTTTTTTTTCTATGAGGGATAGCCTGAAAGGAATTCTGAGTTATCAGTAGCAGGTATGAATGGATAAAGAAAAACACAGAAAGTATGAGAGCAAGGCCTGACACGAACCCATGTCTGGAACAGGCCCCATTGGATAGACCAGCAGCTAAAATCACACACACACAAAACAAAATATAGCAAAAGCAAACTCCAAGTCCAGATACATCTAAGCGGTATTGACTGAGTGCCTCTTATGTCTTAGAAACTAATTTTTTCTCTATTTCACACACCAGTCTTGTTTTTTTTTGGGTTCTGATCTTTGAGGGCCTGGCCTTCAAGGGACAGAAGGACAAGACTGAAATTCATTGGGAGGGGCTGTGGCTAGCTCCACAGTATAGTTCTTTGCTGGCTATGCACACAGAACTCCAGAGGGCTCTGATTACAGTCTGGCAGCCTGTTATTAAAAACAGGTTACCTGCTCTAATGGAAAATTCCAGCATAAATCAGAAACTAGAGTAGAAGTTGCTAGGCAATGACTCTGGAGACTAGAGGAAAGATTGCAAGCCAAGAGATGCAGGCATGTATCAAGGTGTCCCCTTCCTGCTCACTCTGTTCACCCTGTCTTCTCTTCTGAAAAGGTTCTGTAACTGCCATTTACTCCTCCTATCAATTTAAATTAATCGTCAGGGATATGCATGTATCAAGCTCTGTGGTGAAATGAAAGGCATATAGTAGATACTTTGCAAGGAAGAGTTATGTTTCTGGTAACCAGAAATTATGTCATTTATACAGTCTGCTCCACTTTCCTGTTACAGCTGCCTAGGCTGGTCATGGTTGCTCCAGAGAGCACCTTCCTGCCCTCCCAGGTCTAGCTCCACTTGCTGGCTGCATCCAGGGATATGCATAGTTACTACTCTCACACAGACTCTCTGAACACATGCACTTCTTCACTAAGGTGGAAGAAATCAAGTTTAATGTCAAAATGACTCTTATGCTTAGCCAGCCACAAAAAAGTTTTGAAAGACTGTCAAAATAGTATAATTCTGATTTTTTATCAGTGGGGGAAATCTAATCCTAACGAGTAAAGTTTGCTCCATTTGGGGGAAGTTAACTTCTTCAGAGTCTTGGTGTCACTTCTTTACTAAGAAGTAATTAATGCCTTCCAAGTGTTCGTTCTTTTTCCAAAGCTGAGAAGGACTTATTTCCTGATTCAATAAGGTTGAAAAAATTGACAAATTAAGCACTCTTAAGTGAAGAGTTGATGAAATATTTCTAGCTACTCACTGGATTTCACTCATATTTCTTGTTTAAAAATGTATTAATTTACAAAAGCAGAGAAATGCCCCCCCCTTTTTTTGGTGCAGGGTGTGTGCAGACGGTTGCAATTATAGGACCAATCTTTGGCTTCCTGCTAGGCTCATTATGTGCCAAACTGTATGTTGACATTGGCTTCGTAAACCTAGGTAAGGAAGTTTATTTTTGTTTATTTATTTATCTTAGTTACTGCAATTTTTTAAATGCAGATGGTGTAAAAAATATCAGAGTCCCGACAGGATTATAATCTTTCCTAGAATGAAAATAATCCACTGAAAATTTGTTGTTGATATAATCACCACATACATTAATAAATGAAATATGAAAAATAGGCAGTGATTAGAACCAGACGACCTATGGTTTGTTATTCAGATGTATCCTTTTTCACTTCTGGTTTGCCAGTTCAAACACATTCCAGCATAGTTAAGACTAAAAACTGTGGCTTCTCATTGGCTCTTGTTGGTTCAGGTGTATCAACATGACAGTCACATCGATTGATCATGTATTTTGTAGACTTGCCAGGAAGACCGAGAATTGAAAGTCTTTCGGCAACCAAAATTCATTCTTTACAAATCATTTTCAGGTGGAAGCATATTAGAGTGGGACTACCTTACCCCCTGAGAGAGTAGTTATGGAGGGAATAAATGTCAGAACTCATCTTTCCATAAGTATTAATTTGTTTCTTTCCTTATGAGATGTACCTCCTAGAAATGGGCATTACTTTTCTTTATTTTTTTAAAACTTTTTTAATGTTCATTTACTTGTGAGAGAGAGATTGAGACAGAGTACAAGTGGGGGAGGGGCAGAGAGAGAGGGAGACACAGAATCCGAAGCAGGCTCCAGGCTCTGAGTTGTCAGCACAGAGCCTGACATGGGGCTTGAACCCACGGACTGCAAGATCATGACCTGAGCCAAAGTCAGATGCTTACCTGATTGAGCCACCCAGGCACGCTTATTTTTCTTTCTTTTTAAAGAAGTTCAAGAAATCAGTTAAAACCAAGAAAATAAGTTGCATTTTTAAAAATTCTGAAATTGCTTTTTGAAATCATTGTCTGTTAAAATTAAATGCAAAACTCTTGCACTAATTTTCCTTTTTTTATCAAATAAACTTCAAGATGAATTCCACAATTTTTATTTATTCATTCACTTACTCATTAACCTTATTAGTTTTATATCTATCTTAGGTGCTGTTCTACCACAAAATAGTGAACAAGATAGTAGATGAATTCCTTGAGTTCGTTAAAATCCTGTCATGGAAATTGGTACAGATAAGAAAGCATAGGTGTGATGAGTGGTACAGAGGGAAATTGTTCAGGGGAAGCAATGAAGATGCAGAGAACTAGTGTGAATGTTTTACCAAGTATGGTGTAGTGTCAATTGAGCCTAGTTGTCAAAGGACATGTGTTTATTTTGTTGTTCTCATAGGGCACAGTGGAGGTAGACCAGTTATATGCTTTATGGGTTCTTTATATAGAAAAGAAAAAACACTTGATTTCATTCATCAATACTTAGCTTCTAGTCAAATAAAAAATGGTGTCAAAAATAAAGTTTTTATAATGATTAAGATATTGACATTTTATTTACATATACAATTCTTGCTTCAGACCTTGAATAGCTCTGAAGTATTATTAACCATCATTTAATAAATAACATTCTGAGTGGTTTAGACCAGATTTTGACCAGAAGGTGTAGGATTTAGCTCTTTTTTTTTTAAGTAAGATCTTAGACATTCAATTTGTGAACCAGGTGAAAGTGGTGCTGATGTGGGGTGGCTGGCAGATTTTGAGCCCTCAGAATTCTCCCTCACATGTTTCTTTCCTCCTGCCATGGGCCCAAGCGTTCTTATGCAGAACCTCAGGGCGGAGTAGAGACCACTCTTGCAGTATTTAGAATCTATATTTCAAATCTAAGGAACAAAAGAAGAAAAGCATCATGTCCCAGAAACACCTTGTTCCCTTCAAAAAGCAAGGTGATGATAATGTTCAGACTAGAACGTTATCCTGCATGAATTATTAGGTATTTTATGATGTGATAGAGCTAACACTAGGATTTCTTTTTTAAAGAGGCTGATTTCAACACACCAGCTTTGCTGTACATGCTATTTAGCTATCCTCTCTCTCTTTCAGATCACATAACCATTACTCCCAAGGATCCTCAGTGGGTAGGTGCCTGGTGGCTGGGTTATCTAATAGCAGGAATTGTAAGTCTTCTTGCAGCTGTGCCTTTCTGGTGTTTACCAAAGAGTCTACCTAGACCCCGAAGTAGAGAGGATTCCAATTCTTCCTCTGAGAAATCCAAGTTTATTATGGATGATCGCACAGACTACCAAACACCCCATGGAGAAAAGTCAAAAATAATGGAAATGGCAAGAGGTGAGCCAGATTCTGCTTGATTTTGAAGCCCTTTCAGTTTTCCATTGACACTCTATACGGGATCTATATATAATATCCCTCTCTCCCCATCATTTGTTCAGAAAAATTGAGAAACTGCCCAGGAAGCAGAATTGAAGATTACAAAGTCAGCTTTATTACTGGAGAGTGGATTAAAGAACATGACCCAAAGTTTTGGTAATATTCCTTGTTGACATTCCCACCCTTATACTGCTTCAGGTTAAACCTTGCAGTTGCCCCCATCTGGGTTTGCTGCTTCACATCAGTCCGGGTGGACAGAAGAGAGTGAATCTTCAGAGCTTGTGGCTTTTTAACAGATGAGATTCAGCCATTTGACAAACATGTGTCAGTGCACGTTTCCCCCCCAGTGATCAAGGGAATGAGTGTGGTGTGGAGCAAAAGGCTAGACATGTTAGAATGAATTCCTTCCACATGGAAAAGGGTGGCTGGCCATGAGGAAGATTGGTTCTTCTCAGTTGGGCCCAGCAAGCAATATTTACATTTATGGAAAATCTTCACATTTCAAACTATGTGGCTGCATAATAGGAAGAAGGGGGAATGCCAAAGCTCATTTCTTACACTAAAGTTCACTGAATTAAGTGGAGGTAACTTGCATATTTCTTTCTCTGTGACCATGATCCAAGTTTGAAGAATAGGGACCAGAAAACTGAAGTTCTTAATGTCCTGCCAATGACTTTCAGCTCTGGAGTGAGGGAGTATTCTCGTCCCTCTTTCCTTTTACCCATATCAGTTAGAGGAATCTATTCCTATCTGACTTATATCTCTAACTGTAATCTAAACTATATGCCTGTAGAAGTGAGTGCCTATGTCTCGATGTGAACCTGACAGATCTCAGTCTTGACTTGAGCCAGTGTTTACAACCCATAGTGTGTGTGTGCCCCACACTGTACGTGTTCCTGATCGCTGTGACAGTGGGGCTCGGCCATCTATGCCCTGCTGCCAAGGCTGTGTCTTCTGCCAGGTGTTACACTGACTTTAATTTCTCCATGTTACTTTTGTCTTACAGATTTTCTTCCATCACTAAAGAATATTTTTGGAAATCCACTGTACTTGTTATATTTGTGTGCGAGCACTGTTCAGTTCAACTCTTTGTTTGGAATGGTAACCTATAAACCCAAGTACATTGAGCAACAGTATGGGCAGTCAGCCTCCAAGGCCAACTTCGTTATTGGTATGCTCACTTGTCCTTCATGCTTGCCAGTAGGTACTGTCAGCTGCATCTTTGTTAACCGTTAGCAATTTTAGAGAACACTATTCTCATATTTAGACTGAAAGTGATTTATGGCATTTTAGATACAAAGTTAAAAAGGTGAGTGAATAAAAATTTAGCAGAATGGAAAAAGATCCAGTGGGGAAAAAATATTTAGATAGTCTGTGGTATAACCTTTTAGCAAGAATTATTCACAACTGTAGATGAGTGACCTTGAGAATATTATATAAACCAAACATGCATTTTATTAGGAGGTTGTGATACTGGATATGTGTCTTTCAAGTATAGCCAAAACTTCATAACAGTGGCCACTTTACCTGAACAGTTTCTAGGACTTTAAAAAGTGAGTATTCAGACAGTTTAAAAGGTACTTATTGCAAAACAAAGTTTGTATTTGCTCAGAGTTAAAGGACTTTTCTGAGTCCTGGCATTCAGCTTATTTAAAAGGGCCGTGTTTTTAGTACAGCAGGTCAGTCAAGAATAAGAAAGCTATTCAGAGGCAAAGAAAAGCATGAAGAAATGAATGAAGAAGAAACAGAATCTACAAATACAAGAAGGTCCTGCTCCAAGTAATTGTGGATACTTTTAAAACCTAGATTAGCTCCTTTAGCCTATGAAGATGTTACTTAATGCTACTGTTTCAAGGCATAAATATATTTTATTCCATTGGATATATTCCTTTATGGTAGGAGACTCTAAAAATTTAAAAACATTTCTTCTTCATAAATATTTCAGGAATTGTTCTATGTATCTATCTCTGAAAGAGAGCTCTGAGCTCATTTCAGAATATGTAATTGTCCTGTAACCATCCTGGATAATTTAATCCAGATGCTAATTTAATTGACTCTGTTTAGACTATTCTGTTAAATTATAAATATTAAAGCTATGCCAGTGAACTTTTGCTTTCAACATGAATTGGTTTGAATTAAGTTAATTGTATTATTTAATTGTTGATCTGAGGAAACAGTTTAGGTTTTTTTGCCCCCCTCCATGTCAATCAGTGCTTTATACTGACTTTAAAAAGAAGAGAAATGAAAGTTTAAGAGACATTCTTTTTATTTGATTTTTAAAATTTCCTTTATGTTTGTTGAGATATAACATACAAGCAACATTTAACACTGTAGCCCCTAAATGGGTAGTGTAGCTGGATAAATGTTTATATGTAAATCTATATGGTAACCATAAACTAGAACATGTAGCCCATTTCAGAACCCCAGAAGCTCCCTCAAACCTCCTTTTACTGAGTACTCTTTCCTAAAGCTTATAAGTATTCTGAACTCTGCCATCATAGATCAGTCTTACCTGTTTTTGAACTTTATTTAAATGTAATAGTATGTTACGCACTGTTTTGTATCTAGCTTATTTCGACTGAAATGAAATCTATGAGATTCATGTTGTGTATAGCTGTTTGATCTTTTTCATTGCTGTGTCATATCCTATCACATGAATATACCACAGTTTATTCATTTTATGGTTGGTGGGCATTTGGGTCATTTTTTTTTTTTTTTTTTTTTTTTTTTTTTTTTTTTTTTTTTTTGCTGTTGACGATTAAAAATAACACTGCATGACTATCCTATATATATTTTGGTGGGTGTATACATATGTTTTTCTTGGTTGTATCTTGGAGCAGAATTGTTGGGTCATGTTTAGATCTAGTAAATATAACCAAAACATTTCAGTAGGGTTGTGCAGATTTATAGTCATGCTAGTAGTGTAAGAGTGTTCCAGTCACTCCACATCCGTATCACACTTAGTATTGTCAGTCTTTGTCATTGTAATCATTCTTATACAGTGTGGTGATATCTTATTGTAGTTTATTTGCATTTCACCAATAACTAATGATGTTGAGCACTTTTTCTGGAGGCTTGTTGGTCATTTCAACATTCTCTTTTGTTAATTATGTTCAAATTGTCTATTTTTCTTGAGCTGTCAGTTTTTTTCTTATAGACTTAGAGGGGTGGGTACTTTTTTTCTGATATAGGTTCACGAATTGTGATACAAGTTATTGAATATATGTATTATAAATATTTTCTCACAGACTTCAGTTCTTCTTTTCACTCTCCTAATGATGAGCTTCTTACTTTTAGTTAAGTCTACTTTCCAGTCTTTTTCTTTCTCATTAGTGCTGTATGTTTTCATGAAAATGCCTTGTTAATATTTCTACTAGTAGCCTGTTTTTTGTTTGTTTGTTTGTTTTTTTGTTTTGGTTTTTTTGTATAATGTGAAAAAGAAGGTCAAGGTTGATATATCAAATGGAAAATCTATCTTTCCCCCATGAGTTGTAATGAAGTGACACATCTTTAAGTGTATGTTTGTTTATTATTATTCAACATGTGCGTAGCAGAGTTTGAGGGTATTTGATTTTGCTGTCAGTGGAATCATAAATACATTTTTATTTCAACTTAAAAACATTTCATAAGGGAAAATTAAGAGCATTTTTTTGAGAAATGTGTTTATAATAGAAAACAAAATTATACACAATCTACTGGGTAGGTAATAAATACTTTTTGCTTATAAAATTATTTTTGTGAAAAACTAGCACAGATGAAAAAACTTGAAATTTTGAGAGATTCAATGGCCTGCCTAACTGCATACATACATTATGATGTAGCCAGGAATAGAATTATTTCCCCTGAGTTTCTGAGTTATATTTCCTCTCTGGACATAATTATTTTTGGAAAACTGACCAAAAAAATCTAATAATTCTATTTTAAATTCTGGGTGACTTATTTCTTTTAACCATAACCCTTCTCTGTACACTCAGATGGTCTCTGAGATCCAAACTCATCATCAGAATGTTTTGATTCATCTATCAAAGTTTGCCTAAAATTCTGATTCCTCATAGTTTCTAGCACATCATGTCTTCAGCTAATTCAAGTACTTTTGTGAGAAATAAGTAATAGTGTCTAATGATTCTTTTTTTAATATATGAAATTTATTGTCAAATTGGTTTCCA